CATTGCCAAACTTGCAGCAGCGATTGCAGCAGTTGCTGCCGCTGCGCCGCGCCTGAAGCCGCGCCGCGCGGGCCGAGGGCTCCTGCAGCTGCTCGCGCGGAGGCGGAGAAGGACGAGGACCTAGACTGACACTTCTGCTGCCGGTCGGCTGCCACTTAACGAGGTCCCCTAACCCGGTGTCAGCGCAACGCCGTTTTTTTTTTTTTTTTTTTAAAGCAGCCCTTAGCCCCCTCCTCCCCTTTCCTGTTTCTGCGAGAACTCCCTCCCTCCCTCCAGCTCGGTCAGCCGAAGCGCCCCTTCCCTGGAAGCCGAGCGGCTTCGCCCGCATTTCGCCGCCGCCGCCTCTCCCAATATTGCAATATAGGGGAAAAGCAGGTAAGGGGGCGGTTAGGGAGCCGCGGGCTGGTGGGGGGGGAGGGGAAGGAAGGGGGCCGCTGTGGACTGGGGCTGTTTTCTTTGGCTTCCTTCCCTTGACCGTCCCAAATTGCAAGTAAACAATACGTCGGCTTAGATAATGCGCGAGTCTGAAACTACCGAGGCCGGCCTGCGAGCTAGCACGGAGGCAGCCCGGGGCCGCCAGCTTTGTAGCGGTTCTTGCTTACAAAAGGGTGCTTCATGGAGATGAGGCTGGTGGGGTGCTTGAAGGGGGTTGGAGGTCTTTCCAGTTCATAAGGGGCTCATCAGGGGGTGCTTAGATGAGGGTTTAAGTATGAAAAGTAGTGGGGTGGGGGGTACAGTCATGACCCCCCCTTTCTCCTAGTAAACACTATTTTTGAAACAGTGGCAGAAAGGATCCAAGTGAGCAGGATTCGGTATTGCTGAGTCTTTTTAAAAATTCCTTTTGGCTTATAAGTCTTTGTTCCAATCCAGGAGAAATCCGGTGAATCACCTAATTAAAATCAAGACATGAATTAAAGCATCCATTTTTGTACTACAAATTGCCAGCGCTACGTTTGTCCCTCCCTTGGTCTCCATTAAAAAACACCAGAGACGTTGTTAAAGGGGGGCAGATTTTTGCCTCTAGCTGCCAGTTCTGCTTTCTATTTCACTGACTATCCCAGGACCTAAATTGCTTGGCTATGTAATTACTAGAGTATAAGCCTATTTAACTTAAAAGCTTTCTTTTTTTTTTTTTTTTCCCAACTCTAAATGAAACTTGATGAGGGCCCGTCCTTAGTTATCAGGGGAGTCAGTTTCTGGTCAGTCCTCTTGATTCATCTCTTTTAGATTTAATCAGCATTAAGGTATTGCTTGTCCTTAAGAGCTTTAGCTAATGGGGTTACTGGATGCTTTTCTCAGTGTAATGTTTCCTTTTCAAAAAAAAATATATATATATATATATTCATATGTATTTACCTCTCACCAAAGATGGGGGCGGGGAAGAGCTTGGAATCTCCTCCCTCCCTCTCCCCTTTTAAAAAGGAATTCGGAGCGATTATAACGTTGGGGGAAACAGTTTAAAGACCTCGGCAGGAAATGTAGATTCATTTGGGTTAGGGCTGAAATTGTAACAAAAAGCAATTCCTCGAGTAAATGCATCAGATAAATCAATTTACATAAAGGTATGATGCATTCGGATAAATGCAATGCTAATGGGTTTTAGAGTGGTCCTGTTTCCAAAGTCTCAGGGTTTTGTTACAGCTTAATTGGTGCAGTTCTTATTCTGGTTTATTGTGCGGTCACTGGACACACGTTCCGGGACTCTTTCGGAGGAAATGTGTTTAAAACCGGCCTATTTAAGGAACTGGAGTTCTTGTTTCGTTCCCTTCCTTTTTTTTTTTTTTTTAAATTTGCAGCAGCCAACTTGGGCTGGGTACAGGCAAAGTTCGCCCTCTCCCTTCTGAGGTATCAAGCTGAATGTCTTGAGCAGATAGCCGGGAGCCTCGGGGGGAGCCCACACTCTCGGCTTACAGAGGACAAAGACAAAACAGGCTGCTTAATTGGCAGTAAATAACTTGATCTTTTTATAGAAGAATAAGTGACTGGAGGAACACTAGGACTTCATTGGACTCAGGATTGGAGGCAACAAATTAATCGGTTTAGGCTAAGCTTTATAAATTGATTCTTATACTCCAGTTGCTTCTCTCGTGGCATTCATTAGAGTGGGGAATTTTCAAAAGCAGTTTTTGGTGACAGCAGGACTAGTTCGAATTTAACTCAGAGCATCCCTTAATAGTGCCTTTTCGCATATTATCTGTACCCTTCCTCCCTTTTGGAGGAACAAAGCTTTAGCATTTAAATTGCTGATCAAGGGCAGATTAGGGAGACCAAAGTGAAGAGTGTTTGTACAGGAAGTTAACAGGCATCCTAAAGTTCAATGATCTATTATTCTTGCCTGTGTCTTGAAAAGCCAGAGAAAACACTCATTGATCTTCAAAATGAAATGAGATTTGGAACAATTATGGGAGATGGCGGTCACCACAATGGCATGTGAAAGGTGCTGTTTAAAATACGAAAAACCAGTTTCGCAACTTCACACACCGAACTCCCCCTTCCGCCCCTCGACTCCCCTCCCACCACCATGCTCTCCATTGCCCCTCATCTAGTCCCTCCTTCTTTCCCTTTCGAAAACCGAACTATTTCCAACTTCTAAACTACTGCTGCACTTCTAAGGGCAGAGCTCTGGAGGGAACGTAGCTCCGGCTGGGCCCGGAGTGGACGCCGCCTCCCCACTCCCCTCGGCTTGCACTGGGACTTGGCTGGGGCTGGGGAGGGGCTGGGCGCGGCAGTGGGTGGGTTTGACCCTCATTTGCTGGGGGCGGGCGCCTGGGTAGAGGAGGAGGGGGCAGTGGGTGGAGGCGGGGGCTGGGAGGAGGCTCCGCGAGGGGTGGAGCGCGCAGCCAAAGCTATGCTTTCGGAGTTTTGACAGTACCAAAGCTGAAATTGTCAGCAGCAGAGAGCGCAGGAAAGTTGAGAGGAGCTCGTGGCCCCAGAACAAAGCTTGAGAAAAGTAAACAGGCGGCTGCTGCCTGCGAGCCTCCCTCGTCCCCTTTCCCCCTACCCTCCTTCCAGTCCTAGCCCTACTACTTTCCTCCAGCAGTTCTAGGGAGGAATGGATTCACTCTCTCCTGGCTATTACTAACTTTTACTTTGCGCCTGTTTTGTCTTTCTTTCCCTGCCCCTTCCCGCCATCTGTAGACCATGGTGAATCCGGGCAGCAGCTCGCAACCGCCCCCGGTGACGGCCGGCTCCCTCTCCTGGAAGCGGTGCGCAGGCTGTGGGGGCAAGATTGCAGATCGCTTTCTGCTCTACGCCATGGACAGCTACTGGCACAGCCGATGCCTCAAGTGCTCCTGCTGCCAGGCACAACTGGGCGACATCGGCACGTCCTGTTACACCAAGAGCGGCATGATCCTTTGCAGAAATGACTACATTAGGTAAGACTTTACTGCCTTTACTCCGAGATGGGCCAGCAGAGCACTGGTATAGGCCAAGGATTCCCATAGGTTTTAAGGAAAGGAAAGGGCACCTTATGATAATGCATTGCAGTCTCAGCCCCCAAAACCTTTTGATTGTCGGAATTTAAGAGGTTCAAAAAGCATGTGTTAATTTCTGATTTTTAATGGTAAATGTCATAATAACTAAAAACTCTGTTCCTTTGATGTACTGGACTGCTAGATGTGCAGAGGTTGAACGCTGTCTGGACCAAAATTTTAAGTGGTCAGTCCCAGTATAAAAAAAGACCCTCGGCTAAATTAAACATTTCAAATGGGAGTTTAAACTGTTTTCTTAAAGCAAATAGGCACCCACAGAGAAATCTAGAGACAAAAGGTTGACTTAAAAATAAAAGTGTAGTTAGTGTGAAATGATTTGCCTGTGGTGGTGGCTAATTATATTTACATAAGCACTTTTAAACTTTTTTGAGTGGAAAGCTATGGCTCAGTTTTTTGTGCTCCTTGTGAAAAGTGCTGATTACTCGTCAGTTTAAAGACTTGTAGTTCTTATAAAAAAAAAAACTAGCAGTAATGTTTCTCTTCATACTGTTACTTGGAGGCTTGGATTGCTTAGTGTTAGTGTGTGGTTTGCAGTGTGGAATTTGTAGTTTCTTCTACTGAGGAATGTTCAGGTTTTTGGTTTTGTTGTTGTTTGTATCACTGTCCTTGTTCCCCAAAAGAGATGTAGAAAAAGAGGCTATAGAATGATACTAATCTTGCATTTTAAAGCAGTGTATAGGAACATGCGCATATCCACGTAAGCAATCTTTTCCAACAAGTTTCATTGCAATTAATGGAAAGAATTCAGGAGGTCAGGTGCCTATAGGATCTTTTCAGGTGAACTCAAGCTACTTAAACTCATTAATTTGAAAGGAGGCATTTGAAGGATTACACATTTAATTTGAGTAAATGGTTTGATAGACTGATGCACATGAATGCTTCTAGGAGGTGTTCTGTTTCAACATCCAGTAATTAAAAAAAAAAAAAAAAAAACCCCACACGCACACAGTTGATACTAGAGAACTGCACACTTTAAGAAAAATTGCGTTCTATTTAAATTTCTGCTCACAGCCTTTTTCTTTATAGTGATAAGTAGAAAAATTCTGTTCCTCCAGTGCCAGTGAAATCAGTAGACTAGATATTTTGTTCAGAGTTTAACTCCATTGTGATTCTACTCTGTGCCTGATACTGCAAAAGATCTCAGTGCAGTTCAGAGCTGAGTATGGGTATGTTTACCTCCGTGATACCATTAGTGTAAAATGATGGAGGAAAATGACATTTGGTTATTCCGATAATGCAACCTATATCCACTCTGCTGGCATCCTCAATCAGCCAACTGGAAGAAATAGACGACAGGAAAGGGCTCTTATTTTTAAATTAAGATGGCAACATTAATTTCACTAAGTGTTCTTTTAGAAGTAAATGTTGGAAAAACAGCAGGAGCATGGGTATAATGCTTTCTGGTCTCCCTTGCAAGCAATGCCATGAGCTTTGACAGTATTGTAATTAAATAGAGCAAAACTGTGGTAAAATAGGAAGGTGGTTTGTAGTGGGAAAATTGACAGTGCTGTTCAGATTCAGTCAGTGGTACAGATTCATCTCTTTTCCAAGTGCCTTAAAAAAAAAAAAAAACCTTTCACTTCTGATTACCACTAATTAAAAGGAAGCTAAGTCCACTTGCATTCCCTTAGGACAAGTTTAGGCTAGTGGCTTCCTGGGAATTGCCTCCATTCCCTTCTCTGCTCTTGGGGCCAAATATAAATGCCCATTTTATATATTCTTATCGCTTAATGGAACAATGGATTAATGGAGGACATATTGCCCAGCCTGGAGCCTTAATTAATCGGATCCTTATCTTCACTTCCTTTCTTTTTTCTTCTGAATCTGGGAACTGGAACCAGGCTTGCTCTTGAACTAGATGCTACACTGAGAGCCTTACCTCAGATCAGGTTCAGGAGAAAGGAGTTATAGATCAGTGGCAAGTTTGTTGGCTCACACTCCGCTCAGAGCTGACCTCAAAAGGCATCATTCAGTGTTTCCTCCCTTTACCTATCCAGATGCCAGAGAGTGTGGGAAGGGGTGAAGAGGGGCAGGCTTTCTTTTTTTTCTCTCAGCTACCCCTCCCCCAGTCTCTCCTAAGTCCACTTGTTGGAGGAGCTTTCAGTGTCCCAAGAGCGGCCACTGTTAAGTGTAATCCGCTTGCCGGCCGCCAGGTGAAGGAGGGGAGTCCTCGGCACACTGCAACCATAGAGCGATTTATTAAGGGGCTTTTAAACTGTCTGACTTTGAGGTTGTGTGTGTTTGTTTCAAACAACCAAGATCTGACTAAAAAGCTGCTGGAGAGCTGGGAGAGAGGCCTGCTGGGGGTAGGGGGCTTTGCTCCAGCCCCTTCCCCCTCTATGGCCGAGTGTCTATAGGGCAGAGCTGGGTTTCTCCCTCTTCTCCCTCCAAGATTTCAGATAAAGCCGCTGCCTTGCTGCAGCGAATCTGCACAATTAAAAGCTTTAATTAGTGGCTCCTCCATTTTCTTAGTTCTGATGGGCTTTATCTAATGAGATCTGGTCTCTGGCTTAGATCTGCTCCGAATGACGTGTCCGCAATGAATGAGAGCTGCGTCGCAAACAAAACATTTAATTAACAAAATTGGCCTCTAAGAGCAGGAGGGAAAGGGCTGGGGTGGTGGGGATGGAGAGGAGGAGGAGGGCGGATCTTAAAGGGGCCATCGCCTGCCTAGATACCCCTCCTTATAAAAGTCGAGAACCTTGAAACTGCCACCTCTTTCTTCCCACCCCTAATCACCCAGGTCTACCCCAGCTTCACCAAGTAGCTTCAGCAACTCTTTCTCTTTGCTCATACCCTCCTTCCTCCACCACCCCCCCCCTTCGGGCCTGAAGATTGGCGCTGAAAGTGCAGAAATAGGAGGAAGTTCGGAGACTGCCGGGTGGGGCTTCAGGCCCGGGTAGGGTGAGGAAACATCCTGGAAGCCCGAGTAGCGAGTAGCGGCCCTTCACGAGCCCTTCCTTGCTGGGGCTGGGCCCGGCCCTGAGCTGCTGAGGCCGCAGCCAAGGCGCCCGGCCCGTGGCCTTGGGCCCGCGTGGGGGCCAGCGCTTGGCGGGAGTCCTGCGAGTGGGTTGCGCTTTCTTTACCCCAGCTCTGCTTGGGTGGTTCATGTGGCGCCCGCAGCCGCAGTGAGCACGGCGCTGCCGGCAGTGGGGGGACGGGGTGGGGGCTGGTAGTGGTTGGTGGTGGAGGGTGTGTTCTGGGAGGGGGTAGTGTTAGGAATGGAGATGCCGCCAGGCAGCGAGTTCATTTCCCTGATAATCAACAGCAAGCTGCTATATTCAGAGAATGCTGTCCCTTTAATTGAACAGGCTAGGTAATTAAATGGCACTTTTCCAATAGGACGTGCTAGGTAAATCTAATAGTTGGTTATTTAATATCACTTTGAAGTCTGCCCACTCAAGCACAATGACAGCACAGGAGCATGTGAACTATTAGCTAGGAAGAAAAAAAAAAAAAAACAGGATCTCAAAAATTAATTAAATCGCATGCAATTTAGGGGGAACGTTTATCTTGATTTGTCATAACAGAATTAATTCAAGGCCTCCAATTCACTTGGGGGCAGATCTGTTACTCTGAATTAACCAAGCGTAATTTGGCTGATTTTTTTTTTCCCCTCCCCTCTCTAATGCAGCAGTTGCTATTATGCACAGCCCCCCTCTTAAGTATCAATTGCTTCTGGTGCTTTTAAGGTGCTTGGTCTCTAGTTATTCCGAAGTACCTTTAATGGACTTGGCTCCAGGCATAATTTCTGGGTTGCATTTCTTTGTTACATTTAATATAGCTGGTGCAGAATTTAGATTAAATATAGGAACCTGCTAGAAAACCAATTGCTTCTGGATCAGTAGCTGTGGATGTGCATTTTTCTCCTCAGATAGGTTACTGATATTTACTTGCAGGAACAAATGTATACCTTTCAGCCACACTCTTAGAAACGCTCTCTCCTTGCCTGAAAGCAGTTTAGAAAACACAGCCAGGTAGCACTCCATATTGCATGTATTTTGTT